CCTCAAGACACAACCATTCGGTCTGCACTTATTTGTTAGAAGGGTACTGATCTTCTTAACCTTCTCCAAAACCATCAAGCACACAAGCATTCAGTATCCTCAGAATTCATTCATTCGTCCTTATACTCCCATCCGTACTTAGTGAGGGCAGGTCCCTACTACTGAATCAGTATTAAACAAACCTAAAATGTCAAAATGAAAAATAAGCCAGCTACATTTTAGTAATTCTACAGTCTGAATTTGAATAATTACAGGTTTCTATTCTTTATGGTTTAATTTCAAACTTGTCTTTTCAAGTTGGGTTGAATCCAATTTTATTTGCATACCCCATATTGCACTTTACAAAAAACAATTTAACCTAAATTTTTCACTGAAATACAAGACTGTTTATAAGATGTGATGAAATACTGTAATTCAGTATTTACAATAATTCAGTAGTCATGACTGTATTTTGTAATTTTAGACTGTTTTGTCCTTGAACCTAAATGTTCCACTGAAATACAAGACTGTTTATAAGACGTGATGAAATACTGTAATTCAGTATTTACAATAATTCAGTAGTCATGACTATTTTTAGACTGTTTTGTCCTTGAATGTTTACTTTCATTAGTGATGCATAAATTTATTATTGACATGATAAATGAACTAACATTCATACTGTATCGAATAGCAGTTTACACACTAATGTGCACACCCCTGGTGCATAGCCCGTATGAGCTCATGGCTTATAAAACCACATTCTTCTGTGTTCAGCCTTGCCTCTGTACCAGCTCATGTATGCCTTCACAGAAAATGACTCAACATGTTGATCTGTAGTAAAACATGAGAGACAGTTTTGAGGTGCGAGCATGTGTTCAAGTGTTTGCCAGTGTTTCCTTAACCCATAGTCTGACAAGAAAATGTTCAGTTTATGTGATGCACCCAGAATATTTGGCTTTTGCTGGACTCTGACACTGCAATCATACACCTGACTGATTTGTAATAGATTACTTTGATTACTTTGCTCACTTCTACCTGGCAACACTCCAACAAAAACGGGACTTTGCTTTTAGCTCAATGACATTGCTGGCAAGATAAAACACATTAATGTTGGCAAACAGTATTTAAAGTATAGTATATTACCAGAAGGTGTTTAAAAACTGACAAATGGAACTGGGAAGCTTTCATTAGTTTGTTGCTACTGAACCACACTTTGTATGCATATGAATGTGTTTTGGAATTCCTGTGGTACAACTCAGGTGCATTGTGAATTTGCATAATTAAAAGCAAACAGGTAGGGGGATGAGGAAATAAATGAGGGCAGGAGAGTCGGAAAGTCGATACAAAGGATAGTCATGTACAGCATGGAAATGATATTGTACACTGTTGTGCACTATTGTCATTGGGTTCTTTATCCATGCACGGGATTGTATTTCCTGTTTTAACACTTGTAGCTAGGGAATCCCTCCACACCCACCCACGGAAAGCAGGCTACAGCACTACTGTTTGGTCATTTAGAGAACAAAATATTTGTCTGAGTCACAGGATACACATGGATCTGAACTTTAAAATCATTTAAATAAACATCTCTATAATAAGTAAATGTTCCCAGCCTGAGTCATTCTGTTCAAGTGTTGGCTAACAACCAAGGCACCAACATAACTCACTTGAGCTTTTGAGTAAGAAACAAACACATTACTGACCCTTCACAGTCCTCAATTATTTTTCCATTGTAAATGCTATAGCGCCAATGACAAAGATGTTCAGCTATATTGCTGAAAGTTTCACTCCACTATATCAGAGAGAAAGCATTCAACAGTAACAGGGCTGGAACATGGAGGTTCACTGATTGGGAAACATACTCCAAACATTTTAAACTCAAAAATATTCCCTTTGAGAATGTCTATATTATGGCTTTGCAGCTTTTTTTTAAAGTAAATAATCTAAATTTCTTCCACTGATTTTACAAAACTTTTAAAAAAGTGTTAATTTTTTTTTATCATGTTCAACTAGATTAATGAGGTAGGCTGCATTAAACATGAATTCAGTATCACATTCCCTTACAGTTAACAACTCAGCACTAGCAGCCTCTAGCAGTTATTATTTTTGATAATTAGATGTTAGTGTGGCTTTACTGGCGGGTGTCAATGCTTTACAAAGCTGCAATTTCACTTTTACGTCAGATGAATCCAGGTCATAGTATCAAACAAGATGGATATGATTCACACTTAACGCATGTCTTTTTAGATTGTGTATTTTTAAACTACATTACGTCAGAGAGATCACGCATTAAAGGAATCAACTTGTATTTGTCACAGAATAAAACCTGTGAAGAAATATGCCTATGCTTGCTTTAAGTAGCTGCTGAATTGGAGTAATTATTTGAGGCAGCACTAAATAGCATGCAGCAACATGCAGGATGCCTTGGAAGACATAACTGATGTTGAACACTGTCATACTTGCACACAATGACGTGCAGCTGTCAAGCCTCTAACACAGATTGCTCAATGACCTGATAATGTCATTAACATGAGACTACAGTAACTTGTAGCTTTAAATCTTGTATTACTATGCCCCAAAAATCACCATCAGGTCAAATATTAAAATGAAACAAAATAAGACGTGTGTACTGAGAAAGTGTTTAATCTCGTGCAAATCCCACAGACCAGATACCGTACACTCCTATTTTAATCAGCTTGTGCAGACAGCTGGACTGAGTAGCTGTGAGTTAAATGCTATTGTTAGGTTATTTTTTAGTTAGATAGATATTCAGAGATTTGTTGTCTATGAATGTTTAGTGCAGACAGGGTGACTAGTTTGCTGTAACTATTCAGCCTGCAGTGAGGATTGCAGGCACGCCAAGGTTACAGGAAAAGAGCTTTTAGTGTCAAC